TCACAAGCAAAGGCAACAAAAAGAAAGATAGACCAGTGGCATTGTATCAACACAAAAAGCTTCTGCACAGCAAAGGAAACAATCAACAGAGTGAAGAGACAACCTCTGAAATAGGAGAAAATATTTGCAAAGTATTCTTCTGATAAGGGGTAATATCCCAAAGATATAGAGTCAACTCAATAGCAAGAAAATAAATAACCTGATTAAAAATAACCTGAATAAAAATGGGCAAACACTCTGAAAAGACATTTCTCAACAAAAGACATACAAATGGCCGCCAGATATATTAAAAGATACTCAACATCATTAATCATCAGGGAAATGGAATCAAAACCACAGTGAGATACCATTTCACACCTGTTAGTATGACTATTATAAAAAAGTTGAAAGTTAAGTATAGGCAAAGATGTAGAGAAAAGGGAATCCTTGTACATCGTTGGTGGGAATGTAAATTGGTATAGCCATTATGGAAAACAGTATGTAGGTTCCTCAAAAAATTAAAAATAGAACTACCATATGATCCAGCAATCCCACTTCTGGATATATATTCAAAAGAATTGAAAGCAGGGTCTCAAGGAGATATTGCACACCCATGCTCATAGCAGCATTATTCACAACAGCTAAGAGGTGGAATCACCCTAAGTGTCCACCAACTGATGAATGGATAATTAAGATGTCATATATATAAACAACAGAATCCTATTCAGCCTTAAAAAAAGAGAGTCCAGTCATTTATGACAACATGGATGAACCTGGAGGACGTTGTGTTTAGTGAAATAAGCCAGGCAGAGAAAGACAAATACCGCATGATCTCATTTATATGTGGAATCTAAGAAAGTTGAAGTCATAGAAAACAGAGCAAAATGGTGGTTACCAGGGGCTGGGGGGTGGGGTATTTGAAGAGATATTAGTCAAAGATACAAAAATTCAGTTAGATAGGAGGAATAAATTCAAGAGATCTATTGTGTGACATGGAGATTACAGTTAATAACAATGTATTGTACTCTTGAAAATAGCTAAGTAATAGATTTTAAGTGCTCTCACCACAAAAAAATAAGTATATGAGGTAATGCATATGTTAATTAGCTTGATTTAGTTATTCCACAATGTATACATATATCAAAACATCATGTATACCATAAATGTATATAATTTTTATTCGTCAATTAAAAATAATTAATAAAAAATAAAAGTATAGAACTGATTTCTATCAGAGAATTTTGCAGTACTTTTGAGATGTCCACATCTCAAAAATAAAATTCTGCCATACCTTTTTTTCACCTTCAAATAGCTGTTGCCCAGCTCTCAGGGAAGAATTCAACACTCTGGATGTGTCTAAGCACTACAGTCAGCTCCCTGCTGTACATCTGATTTATTCCACTTCCTGAATCGCCTGACTTTGCCCCACTAGATCACTCAGGGTAATTGCCCTTTCTCAGCGATGACGCTGTTTTGCTGACTATGACGAAGGATGTCAGTGTTTCTAATGAAGTTTATCAATGTGAAATTGGTTTGAGACTTTGATACCTTGCCTTTTAAATGTATAAAGATGATTTTATATACACACACACATATATATGCTATGTATACACATATATATAGCAAATGAAACTACTCTTTGAATGATGTTAATAGCTAAATTACATATTATATGTATAATTTTTAACACCTAAATCATGGGAAATGATATATAATTAAATGCTAATCTTTTATTTTAAGCTATTTCCCTGGGGGAAAATTAGGAAAGAAATAGTTGCTTCATTTAAAATCACCGGAAAAAAGGTAATTTTCTTCTTTTTTTCCTCTCTATGATCTTAAATTATCTGGCTCATTTTTAAGATTGAGTAAATTGACTTTTATTTTTTTATTTATTTAATTTACTTAAAAATTAAAAAAAAATTTTAACTTCTCAATATACATTGTATTTGATTTTTGTGTCCCTTTATCCATTCCTCTTCCCCCTCCTTCTGTCCCCTTCTCCCTACATCATATCTGTTCACTTGTCTTAACAACTTCAAAGAATTGTTGTGATTGTTGTGTCTTCTCCCTTCCCTTTATTTATTTGTGTGTTTATTTATTTATTTATTTTTAGCTCCCACAAATAAGTGAGAACATGTGGTATTTCTCTTTCTGTGCCTGACTTGTTCCACTTAATATAATTTTCTCTAAGTCCATCCATGTTGTTGCAAATTGTAGTATTTCATCCTTTTTTATAGCAGAGTAGTATTCCATTGTGTAGGTATACCATAGTTTCCTTATGCACTCATCTGATGATGGACATTTAGGGTGGTTCCAACTCTTGGCAATTGTAAACAGTGTGGCAATAAATATGGGAGTACAGGTATCTCTTCAGTATGAGGATTTCCATTCCTCTGGGTATATTCCCAGCAGTGGAATAGCTGGGTCATGTGGTAGATCTATCTGTAACTGTTTGAGGAACCTCCATACCATTTTCCGTAAAGGATGCACGATTTTGCAGTCCCACCAACAGTGTATGAGAGTTCCTTTTTCTCCACAACCTCGCCAGCACTTATCATTCTCATTCTTTTGGATATTAGCCATCCTAACTGGAGTGAGATGGTATCTCAAAGTGGTCTTGATTTGCATTTCCCAGATGCTGAGTGACGTTGAGCATTATTTCATGTGTCTGTTGGCCATTCATTAAATTGACTTTTTATTACATAATCTATCTTTGGATAATTTTACATTTATTTGATTCCCAATGTTTTCTTATAAAACGTAAAAAGAAAACTAATATACTCTTAGGAGCAACACAGATTACTGAGAAAAGTTCTAGGCCAAGAATAAAGAGATGTGACTTTCAGTCCTGGCTTACTGTCAGTGTGAACTTAGGTAAGTCACTCAACTTCCCTGAAGCAAAGTTGCCTCTTTAGTAAAATAGACATGTCACCATCTACTCTCCTTAAACACTTGCTGTGTAGTAAAAGTTCTTTATTCATGTAGCATTTCTTAGTGCTTATGCTTATGGGGTCGTTCTAATGGAGATATGAAGAAAAATAAAATTCACTCCCTTCCCTCAAGTAACATAGAGTGGAGAGATGTAATGTAAACAGGAATTTGATATGGAGTCACACAAGGATTCTGGAGGGAGGAAATCCTGAATTAAAAATAGGAGTTAGTGAAAAGAATGGAAGCAGAAAAGACAAGAGCATTCCAGGTAGAGGATACAGCATTATACAAAGGTAATGAATTATGAGAGTGTAAGGTATTAGGGGATCTGTGAGTCATTCAATTGGCTGAAAGAGGAGGTGAAAAGTCAAAGGTGAGGTTGGAAAGGTAGACAAGTTCAGATTATCAAGCATAGCAAATGCTATACTATGGATTTGCATTTTAGCCCCAAAACAATGAGTGGAGGTGAGGGGCTGTGCAGGCTTATAAAGGGGGTAGTTATGGTTTTAGAAAACTCACTGTGAAGGCAACATAGACAATGGATCAGAGGCTGGAAGACTAATTCAGAGTCTATGATATTAGTTCAGGTAAGAAAATGCAAAGGTCTAAACTAACACAGTGGCAGCAAGGATGGAGAAGAATCGTCATCCTGGGAGACGGTATGCAGGCAGAACTGATAAATGTTAATATCTGGCTAGGCGTGTATAGGAGAAGGGGAAATCAGGGTGAATCAGAGGTTTCTGACTCACCTGGGTAGATACTGTATTCATCTATCAGATAGGAAATAAAAAAGATAAAGTAGGTTTCTGGGGCTAGACAAGCTCAGTTTTGGATATATTGAGCTCATTGTGCCTAAGGGATATCAAGTGGTGATGTGCAGAAGGTAACTCGATCGATGAAATGCATTTGACAATGCTGTGAGCTATGTGAATGTGAGTAGTAACATGTACTTTAATCCAATTCTATATATTCAGTATGTGTATTAACTCTTGCAAGGCCACTAGGGAAATTACTATGGAAAAAATGGTCTATTCAGCAGTACTCTAAGGGCTTCATAGAATAAAGGGCTTCACTTCTTTACTGGATTTGCTTATTCAAAAGAAATTATTTAACTAATCACAGCATCATTTTTATTGTGAGCTATCTCTGATGGTTTGTAGCTTCTTTTTCACATTCATGTGGCTGGCATTGGGACTGTATTAAAAAGAGCTACCATGCAGATGGAGACAGAGGACAGTATTCTGGAACCCTTTTTCCATCCAACCTCACTGCCTATCACATTTTCCTATATGCATTCTTCCTTCCAGCTGCCATGGGGTCATCAAGCCTTAGCTTAAATCAAATGTCCTCTGGCTCCAGGTCCCATGATGAAAAATTTATGGAGCCTTGGACACATTACAGGTTTTACAGCTTTACAGCTGAAATCCTTCAGGTCCTCCTGACCTACTGAAGGAAAAAAATGTTTTATTTTATTGTGATTCCCAAATGTTCTTCCAGTGTGTGCATTTTTCCAACAGAATGTGCATGTTGCTTCCAGCAATGTGTTTTGTATTACCTTGAAAAGCAGGGAAGCTCTGAAGGAAGGAAACAACTTAGTCTTCGTCCTGTTGCTAGTATAAGAGCAAACAGAACTTGCCATTGGCAGCATGATTAGTTGACCAAGTCTATGGATCATCAATTTGTATTTCTTCTTTACTGAGTATATCCTATATGAGTCAATGACTATACCTTAATTGTTTTAAAAACAATTTATATCCCCCAACTAATGATATGTTGGCTTCTTATCTAGGGTCATATCATTTATTAATGATACGTTTGGCTTCTTACTGGGGTCATATAGCTATATATACCTATATATAAAAATATATGGATATATATATATAAATATTTTTTATGACCTTAAAAATATCATATATTCTTGTGAAGTCCAGGATGTAGCTATCTTAATACCCTCAAATTAAATATTTCCTGGATAATGAACAGACTTTACAAATATATGTTAAAACCTGAAGTCTCTCTCTCTCCTCAGGAGATTATAAATAATATCAGTTTGGAGGTGGCTTTAAAATAAGGTACCTGAATGGGCTCACCTTGATAATGAAATCTGCTGTGAGTGGTCCAGCCATTTTCAGTATCTCTTTGTCTGGGAATTTCTGAAAGTCCACACTAGAATTGTCCACAAGAAAGGTGCCTGTAGAGCTGAGACTGTTTTCACCTTTAGCCCCCTGGAGGGTTTTGGTTTCCAGATCTACATAATCAAACACATGAAGAGGAGAGAAAGATGTTCCTAGGGCTACCACAGATCACATGCAAGCACACTTCATGCAACAATGTTTAGAGCTAAGTAGGAAGATCGTCATTCTTCATATGGCTGACAAAATTGAAATTGTGATATAAACAAAATGTATATAAATGTGATCACTGTTGGATCACATAGGAGTTTATGCTGTAAATGAAATTATTCCAAAACTCATTAGCTTGGTTTTCGAGGTTCCTTGTCAAAAAATCTTTGACTCTCCAGGTGACTTCATTTGGCTACCCCATTTTACTACAACCCTATTCCTTTGACTAAACCATCTCCCATACATGTCTTACTGATTTCAGTCTCGATGACCCTCAGCCTAGGATATGATACCTTCCAGTTTCCTTCTGCTCTGTAAGATCCAAGGTGCATCTCTGAGTTGTCTCAGTACCTCTGTGACTTTATATTCATGCATTAACTTGTTTGTTTATACTTTCCAGTATAAACTCACTGCATATGTGCTATTGCTCAAAATGAAGAAATTATAGTGACTTAAGGACAGGGGCCATCCTTTTTAGTTCTATTTAAAAAATCCTTTTTGATACTTAATTCAATTTTATACACATACATGGTATTTCATAAGTGCTTAAGACAGAAAGAACTTGATTTGTGGAGCATTCAAAACCTATTTTGGCCAATGAGAAGGCCTATGAAGTATCTTCTTGTAGGAAATCAGAGCATGCTGGAGATGATGGTAATTGCTGTGTGTTTCAGAGAAGACTAAGCTGTCATGTGATAGAGAGGTGATTTAGGGTATATCTGCTGCATGAAACAAGATAGATGAACTAAGGCTAATGGTTTCCAAAACCCATGGTTTTGGCAGCAATTCTTCAGCATAAAGTTAGAGTACTTGGGTGGGACTATGGGTCTCCCAACTCAGCTTCAATCAGAATGGCTCCACTCATATATTTTACAGATTGACGTTCTGGGTTAAAAACAAGTCTAAGGTCTCTGGAGGTACTAACATACCTAAAGTATTTGCATTACATTACTCTAGATGTGATCTACTTTTAGTTCTCTACTATGAGGAATACCAACAGGTAGAAAATTCTCATGTTCAATTAAATGCCCAGTGACTCTCAGATGAAGTACATGGCACCTTTCTTCTTGAGTAGGTAGGTTTACTCCCTTTCCCCAGTACGGAGAGGACCCCACAGAAGACCATAGGGCATGTAGGGAATATTGGAGTGGGGAAGTCATGGTTGTCATCAGGGAAAAGCAACAGCACTGAATTTCCTTCCTCCAGCTTTCATTCCTTAAGCTGCCTTACATGTAGTTGCACAAATATCTCCAGACCTGAATTAACTTGGTCTTAGAAAACTGGAGGTCTAGACCAGATCTGAGCATCTGATTCAATTTTATCAAGATGTCTTCTAGCTGTCCTTCTCAAGGTGTTTCTGATTAAAAATAAGTAGGGTCTGGACCAGATGGCCCAGTCTTGTTCTAGTTTGGCCCTAAATATTTAAAGTTGGTTCCATATTGTACCAGCTTCTGGGAGCGAAGGGAAAAAGAGCTGCAGGAGAAACAGGGCATTGTTTACTACCATATTCATTTTGCTGAATTATATTCCAAATACATAAAGCAAAATAAAAAAATATTTCTTAGCTATACATTTGCTACCAACAGTATGTTTGGTGGGAAGAAAAAGCAGTTTCCATTTTGCTCTTCATCAAATCCTTGGGACAATTAAACCAAACAAGGCCAATTCTTCAGCTTCTTAGTAATCACATAATTAGGAAATCTGGGAGACTAATACATAAATAAAAATAAAATTTCCCCTTAAATCTATTTCTGTGGATTCTTTCTTCTGCAATGAGGAGTCAGTCCCCCACTTGGTGATGAACTTGGCCCGAATGTTTCACTTAAGCCTCTGTCACTGTTCACCAAAATGCTGTTTTTGAGTGAGTTGTTACACCAGCAGTTAGCTCTATTTTTTTTGTTTGAATATTATCAGTGCACACACATATATTATCTTTTGACACATGAACACTATATTTTAAGGGGTTGTTCAGCATTAGAAAAGAACTTGGATCCATGTAAGGTGACTTACTAGCATTTTTTATTTTTTCCAGAACTGTACCTTACTTACTCCTTTACTTCATATGACCCTTCAATCCCAGTTCTTCCATGAAATGTTTTTATTTTTAGAAAGACTACAGTAGGTTATATCAACTTTTACAGGCTCCAATCCGCCTTCCTCTTGTTTGTCTTTCTAGAATGATTTCATTCATAATCCAATTGCCAAAAAATGATGCTTGCTACCTAAATTAGCTTCACAGGGATGTGTGTGGGAGGGGAGACAGAGCAGAAGATGACAGATGGCTTTGTGGGAACTTGGGAACAGAGTGAAAGAGATCAGACATGCTCAAAGGACCAACTGAAGTGAAGCCTTTCAGTGAAATGGAATTTCACAGAAAATGTTAGCATATATCCTTTCCTACCATCTTTTTTATTTATAGCCTATAATATTCTGCTTGTAATTTACAGGTCTACATGTAAACAGTGCTAAAGAGTAATAAATAAGACGTGGCTGTGTATTGTTCCCTTGGTATGACTGAAGATCAATTGTTGCACAAACCCTGGAGGGCCCATGTTACCACTGGATCTTTGGAGTTGTAATTACACTTTAATCCTGAATCCCAACACTATCTTTAAGATGTGAGGGTCCTGAATCTTCTTTAATACATGGGATGCTTAATTATACCATGATGTTTTTCTTTAAATGCCACAGTGTTAAGGTTGTTGGTGTTTTTATGTTCCCCCTCTGGATGAATGAAGTAATGGAACATGAGAGTGGGAAGAAAAAGAGGAAGAATGGAGGGCTGGAAGGAAGGGATAAAAGAGAGAGAGGGCTGGAAGGAAGGGATAAAAGAGAGAGGCGAAGCAAGAAAAAGACCAAGACTAGGTGGAGAGGAGGAAGAGAGAGAATGATATACAACAGTCACAAAAGCATAAACATGTGCTTACTCCATGAACCACCCGCCCACTGTGGTTAGAGATAATGACCACAGAGGTTTATGCCATCTCAGCAGGCAGCCAAAAGATAGACAGAAGCACTCAAAATATCATGCTATCATAGAGGAGACAGATTCGTATTAATCTCTTCCAGGAACACAAAATAAATAACAACTAAAATTCCCTATCCTCAAAGGAAAACAACCTAGCTTACTTACACAAGTGATCAGGTCCTTTCAAGACAAGGCGAACATGTCTGCTTCCATAGGGAACAGCAACCACAGTGTCATCCACTACAGAGAAAAGAAGCAAAGTCTTAAAACACATAATTTGACACGAAAGTATCGATTGCCTCCTTATAAAGGCATTGACTTACATACCTCAAAAAATGACAATTTTTTAAAAAAAAATATTCGATATGTGAAAGCCAATATTTGGGAATAAAAGTTTCTGTTTACCTCAAAATAAAATAAGCCAAAGAAGCTAGTTTCTAGTAAACTCATAGGGAATTTGGACTTTGTAAAAAAATATGAATCTTGATATATTGAAAATGGATTTGCAGGTTTTCATTTTGATTTTATTTTTTAAAATTGTTCTAATTTTCAAAAAAAATTATTTATTTACTTATTTACTTACTCTTTGGTGGCTGGCTGGTATCATTTTTTATTTTAAAATCTGGTCTTATACCATCAAATTTCTCTGGATTAGAGCACTTGTGTTGAATTGAAAAATAAAAATAAAAATAAATTCTAATGCTCAAGGGATGAATTTATTATATCAAAATCTGTACTTATCTCTGGCAGTGTATCTTGGATGAGTAGGACAGATAAAAAGGGGAAAACATATTTTTTGTGTGCTTTAAACCCTTCAAGAGCAGAAATCATGCCTTCCAGTTCTTGAATATCCTTCACACTATCCACACCTACTACTGTATAAGTGAGTGCCCCATAAATGGTTATTAATGCTTCTCCACGCACACACCCTTTGTTTTGAAATATTTTTCAAAATGTGGCTGAATCACAGATCATTTTACAATGGATTACTTTTCACCCTACTTCCAATTGAGCTTAAATTCATTAGAAGCAGACATTTTTTAAAAAATAGAGGTATATTAAATGTACCTCAAATACGTCACAGGCATTTTTATTCAGAACTCCATTTGTGACAACAATACCTTATATTTATATAGCACTGCAGATTTCATTTTCATCTAAATTATACTACCTACTCTTTCATTCATAACTTGTGACATAGGAAAAGAGGATTTTGATGATAAATGAAACCTCTGAGAAGTATAATGGAAAGCACTCCAGAAGAGAAGAGAAAGGCAGGTTTTTATTAATTTTTTATTTTTATTTATTTATTTTTATTGTAGCACAGTTGACTGTACATATCTGTGGGGTACAGTGCTGAATATCAATATCTGTGTGCAATATGTGATGCTCAAGTCAGGATAATTAGTATATTCAACATTACACAATGTAATCATTTTTTGTAGCCCTTTACCAATTCTTTCCTTACCCCACCACACTTCCCACTTCTGGTAACCTCAGTTCTGTCCTCTCCTTTTGAAAGTTCAAGGAATTATTGTGATTGCCGTATCTTTCTCTCTTTCTTTTTTTATTTGTTTATTTTTTAGCTCCCACTTATGAATGAGGACATGCAGTATTTCTCTTTGTGTGCCTGGTTTATTTCAATTAGCGTGATTTTCTCTAAGTTCATCCATGTTGCTGTGAATGGCAATATTTCATTCCTTTTTACGGCAGAATAGTATTCTATTATGTAAATATACCACATTTTCCTTATCCAGTCATCTGATAATGGACATTTCGGTTGGTTCCAACTCTTGGCTATTATAAATAGAGCTGCAATAAACATGGGTGTACAGGTATCCCTTTGATGTGATGATTTCCATTCCTTTGGGTATATACCCAGCAGTGGAATTGCTGGATCGTATGGCAGTTCTATCTGTAGTTGTTTGAGGAACCTCCATACTGTTTTCCATAATGGCTGCACCAATTTACAGTCCCACCAACAGTGTAGGAGGGGTCCCCTTTCTCCACATCCTCACCAGCATTTGTTATTCTCTTTTTGATAATAGCCAGTCCGATTGGGGTGAGATGGTATCTCAACATGGTTTTTATTTTCATTTCCCTGATGCTGAGCGATGTTGAGCATTTTTCCTGTGTCTGTGGTCATTTGTATATTTTCCTTTGAGAAATGCCTATTCAGGGGCCGGCCCGGTGGCGCACTGCTACAGTGCGCCACTTGGGAGCGCGGCGGCGCTCCCTCCTAGGGTTCGGATCCCACATACAGACCGGTTCCCGCTCACTGGCTGAGCGAGGTGCAGGCGCAGCACTGAGGGTTGCGATCCCGTTGCCGGTCCCGGTCTGGTGCGGGCACTACACTGAGGGTTGCGATCCGTTGCCGGACACGAAAAAAGACAAAAAAAGAAAAAAAAAAAAAGAAATGCCTATTCAGCTCCTTTGCCCAATTTTTAATTTGGTTATTTGGTTATTTACTGTTAAGTTGTTTGAGTTCCTTGTATATTGTGGATATTAATCCTTTGTTGGATGCATAGTTTGCAAATATGAGAAAGGTAGGTTTTTAAACTCACCAACATCCTGAGAATCTCTGTGGGATTCTTTATTTAGACATATCTTTCCAATATTATATATTATCATCCTGTCATTGGAAGAATTTAAATAAAAGAATCCCCAAAGCTACCCAATTTCTCTGAACCTTAACATTATTATCCTATCTTTGGGAGAATTTAGTTTAAATAAATGAATCTCAGAAGTTACCCAACTTCTCTTATCCTCATTTTCCCTGTTTGTAAAATAGGGAAAACAATTCATAATGGTGTTGTGAACAGATATAAATATAGATATGGATATAGATTTATAGATGCACGGCCTAAAACACAGTAGGAATTTTTTTTTTTATTTCCTTTTTGTCTTTTTTCGTGACCGGCAACGGATCGCAACCCTCAGTGTCGCGCCTGCACCGGACCGGGACCGGCAACGGGATCGCAACCCTCGGTGCTGCGGCTGCACCTCGCTCAGCCAGTGAGCGGCCGGTCTGTATGGGGGTTCCGAACCCTCGGCGGAAGCGCTGCCGCGCTCCCAAGCGGTGCACTGTAGCAGTGCGCCACCGGGCCGGCCCACAGTAGGAATTCTGTGAATATTATTTTCCTCGCTCTATTCCAAATCTCCTTAAGGACAGTGACTGAAAGACTATTGTTATTGTGTTATTAAACACTCCAAGGCCCCCAGCACAATACCTGCTGAATGAGGAAAGAGAATCAGCTGCTCTCAATTCCTCCCCCCAAGAGCTTATATTTATCAAGTTCTCTTCAAAGCCGAATATTCTACTCACATTTCAATCTTATAGCTGTTTTTTAAAATCATACACTGTTGAAGAAAAGGCTGAATTTCCGGTAGCTAAGAGTGTGTGGCATATGAGAACCAAACATGTAAGAGGAATATAGAAAAGGAACAAAAAAATAGTAAGACTGGGCCCACAGAGCTTTAAATGCCTTGCAAAAAGATATGAATTTTTAAGTTTGCAAAAAAAAAAAAAATTCAAAGCAGTTAAAACAATGGGATTTCTAGAAATAGAAAGTCTTTGTTTATCCACAGGTCAAATAAAGGGCAAGGAAAGGGGAAGCTTTCTGTTCGGCCCTGCAGTGCTTGGCGGCAGGCTTCTGAGCCACACAGCTCAGGCCGCTTCCTTCTTGTTCTGCTAAGTGACTCACATTCCACATGCTGGGACATTAACCCTACCTTTTAGCTGATGCGGTGACATTTGTATGCTCCCCAAATAAGAGCCAGGAGGAACCTAGGAAGTCATTGGGGGAAGACGGTACGTGGAGGCAGCAGACCAGGCAAAAGTAGAATACTTTCTGATGCCCTCTGCACATGCCTAGTCAAAGAAAAATATGGAGCAACTCAGGCTGGTGCAAAGGGCACAGGGTAGGAAGTGTCACAGCCTATTCTCCTGTTGTCTGAGAAGGGCTGACGGACCCCTGGCAGGGCATTAGGCGACCAGTAAATTCATCACTGTATTCCACAAATATTTTTTTTTCCTTTTTTTTGTCTTTTTTACTGACTGGCAACGGATCGCAACCCTCAGTGTCGCGCCCGTACCGGACCGGGACCGGCAACGGGATCGCAACCCTCGGTGTTGTGCCCGCACCTTGCTCAGCCAGTGAGCGGCTGGTCTGTATGTGGGATCCGAACCCTCAGCGGGAGCGCTGCCGTGCTCCCAAGCGCGCACTGTAGCAGTGCGCCACCGGGCCGGCCCCAGAAATATTTTTTGAGTGTCTCTTAGTGTCAGGCTCCATGCTAGCTACTACAATTCGGTGACAAAAAAGACAAACCACCAGACTCACAAGTTGGTCCCTTTTTCAGGATAAAACATGTGGAGATATACTACACACTAAACCCCACTTGTAGAAATCCCCAAAGCAAAGAAACCCATTTTACTCGAGTTAACCCAGCATATACCCATTGTGGTTATCCAGGGAAACTTTTTCTTATGTACGGTATCAGCTGTTAACAGCAGCTAATATATCGCAGAAGATACTCTAGGAAATGGTGCTTTTAATTTGACAAAAAACAAAATGGGAAAAAACAATAATTAAAAATTTAATTTTCTGTACATTGGTAAAAAGCCACACTTTGAATTGTATATATATGTATTAATAATTGTCTTATTTGCTGATAAATTCTCAATGATTTGGGACAGGCTGGGGGATTCTTCTACTTGGCATCTACCACAGTGTTGTGTACAGAGAGGTGTTTAAGATCTCCCAGAATGTGTGAGCGATCTGGTCACAAGACCTGCCTCCACAGTGATTAATGCTGTTGGTGTGGTGGTGAGGCAGGTGGCCATATCCTCTCCCACCATGCCACACCTTCCTCTGGGTGCCCTTTCCTATAAAGGCACATTGTTCTATGATAAAGGGCATCTCGCCTAAGCTGTACTGGTTTTGTTGACGGAACCATGATGCCAGTCTTCAGGACATATTTCTAGGTTCCAAATGAACAATTCTAAGAGATCTGCTTCAGAGATCAGATAAAGATAATACCTTTCTCACTTAAATAGACAAACTTTCCACGGAAATCATAAATTCTGTCATTTCACATATGTGGGTTGCAAATACCCTTTCTCGAGAAAACTGTTTCTCAGGATTGTACCTAAAAGTTTTCCTTTAAAAAAATAATCTACATCTATATGTATGATTGATGGAGTTTGGATGTGTTGTTCCCTCCAAAACTTATGTGGAAAT